AGTTTTCTTGTTTGCCCCCAGGAGATGTGGCAGCTGTCCTGCCCACCTAATATGGTGGACAAGGCTTCAGTGAAGGGCAGGGCAGGCTGGTGGCCCTGCCTGCCCGGAGTTGGGACAGGGAAGACATTTGGCCTGGAGACTGTCATTTGTGGACACCGTCTCTTCAGGTGCTGGAGAGGTGGCCGTCTCTTCAGGTGCTGGAGGAAGTTGACGAACGTGGGGGTGTGAGAATGTTCAGATCCATATGTGTGTGCGGGGAGACGGGCACAGTGACAGGTGGTGAAAGGAAGGAAGGCAGAGGTGAGCTCCTCTCTCAAGGAATTTATACTTCGTGGTGGAAGAAAGGCTGACAGGTGCAGAATGGGATTTAGTGGCAAGGCAAAAAAGATAGAGGCAAGGTGCCCAAGGAGGCCCAACAGAATGTTATGAGAGGGGACACAGTGGGGGGGGACACTAACAGGAGAGGGCAGCGCCAGGCTTGGCTAAGAGGGAACAGAGTTTAGCCCAGGGGTTATTGTGGATATTCACAAGGAAGTGACAGGTGTCCTCAAGGCAGGCAGGGCCTTCCAGGACTGGGCGATGGAGAAGTGGGGTGTCCAGGTCAGCAGGCAAATCTGTAGTTGGGTGAGGTTGTGGGTGGCTTGACATGAATATAAAGCAGGGGTGTTCTGGCAACGTGTGGTGCATGTGAAGGCTGCTTGCGGGGTCCCTCAACGGCTTCTGTTGTTCCTCTGGAATCTACAAAACTCTATCTAGAGGCCAAATCTGAGGCTGCTTCTTGGAAAACATGTAGGGGGACCATGAAAATCACCAGATGAGCCCAGAGGACAGAGCTGGGACTTTGGGTGTGAGGAGGATGCAGAGGAAGGACAGGAAGCAGAGGTGGAAGTCTAGTATATCAGAGGCCTGAGGTAACACTAACCTAAGCTGAGAAGGCAGAGTGTGGCCTTTGGGACAATGACAGTGCAACAGGGCCAGCTCTTGTCAGAGGCAGCGTTCAGGCCCTATTGGCTTCAGGGTTGCCTGTCCTTCCCCCATTTGCTTAAGCTGCTTGGATGTCTACCTTGCTCTTTGTGAGTGCCAGCTCCCCACGGGCTACACCATGGTGACACACATGTCCAAGAAAGTAGGGACAGGTGGTTCCCTTGTCTACTACCAGCACCCGGCACCATGTAGGATCTAGGTGGTGGGAAATGTGGGCCATGGAAGGAGGGGGAGGGGCATGACCATGGGTGCTTCCTCAACCAGAGGCAGGGTAGCTGGTCCTGGTGGCCCACTTGCTAGGAAGCCTCATGGGAGGCAAATGTTGAGTTGGCTAGGGGAGTCAGACCTTGTCCACTCTCTGCATATGTGTGGCAGCACAGAGTTGAGAAGAGCCTGGGAAGGAGTGAGCACACCAGTCCTGGGTCATTGAGCCGCGAACAGCTCGTCCAGCCCCTCATCCTGATGAGGTAAAAATCAAGATCCAGGGATGCAAGGTGGCTTGTCCAAGGTCACACAATGGATGTTTGAATGTCCATTAGGGTCTGTAAACAAGTCAAGATGGCGCCTGGCATTTTGCCAGAGGGAATAATTTATGAAGTAACGCCAGCGAGCCATTAAGTGTGGAGATTCTTTATTTGTTGACTGCTGTATCTAGTTTATGTTAATTAGATAAGCTGTGTGTAATGTATATATACCCCTCCTGTCCTACAATAAACGGCTCCCACTCCTGCTGTATCAATCTACACAAGTTGCTCGTCACCCCCTGGGTTATTTTGCTGCAGCCGGACTGCGGCAAATGTCAAAATGTCCTCAGTTGCTGACCACATATCTTGTCCTGAGTTACAGGACAAACAGGAATCCTATGGAGATCTCACCTCCTTGGTCTTGAGCAATGCCACCCTGTCACCTATATAGATGGTCCCGACAGGTTCAATTAGAATAATCTTGAGCTCTCTTCTCACCCTCAGCCTGTCATTTACATGTGAGTCCCAGGGAAGGCAGGGGTCTGACTAGGACGAGAACATGATTCTAGACTGGCTCTCTACCATGTTTTTTTCAGTGAGCTGAACACTATACCACATTGAGAACCTTTAGGTTACTTCAGTTTCGAAACCGCTTTGCCAAAGTTTCTTATAACCTCTCAGCTAACCATCTATGTTGATGCTCCCTATCCAGCTTCCACAGCCTGACCTTTCCCCTTCAGTCTCTAGAAGCCATCCCTGATGCTCCCCTCCCTTCACAGCTCCATTCCCATGGAGAGAAAACTAGACCAAGGCAGGTCCTGGGGCCTGTATTCATTGGCAGGGCCCCAGGTCCTGGCCTCTCGAGTGCTGGTCCAGACTGGGGCTGCACAGATCCCCAAGCACTGCCCAGCTGCTGCAGAGTGTTCCAGGCCCTCTGCACTGTGATGTTGAGCAAGGACTGCTGCTTCTGCATTTGCAATCTCTCCCACTGCCTCACATCCCTCTGCCTCTGGTGGCCCCCTGTCCTCTCTCTCTCATCACTCAGTTTGGTTGTCTCTAGAGTGACATTCCTGGGTGGCTTCTCCTGTTAACATCTCTAAAGGCTTTCCTTGGTCTACCTGCCAATGCTACAGGTTCTCTGCAGGACTGTCAAGAATCTCTACAACCTTCCCATTTTCTCACATTTAAAATAAAAATCTTTGCATCTCTGGTTTCCCCAGCCTGGAGCTCCCTGCTCCTTTACTCAAGGATGCGATTCTCTTTCTGTGAGGTCCAGCCCTTGTCCCACTTGGAGCCTCAGGGCCACAGACATCTGTTGCTCCTCTGCAAATGATCATCTCATTTTCTAGGGAGGAAATTGAGGCCCAAAGAGGATCATTGATTCACCCCAAAGTGGATCATTGATTCATCCCAAAGTCACATCACTAGCTAGAGAGTAGAAGAAATATTTCCTCACCCTACAGTGAAACACCTTTTCCCCCTGCCTGCTGAAGAGGCATGCTGTCCTGGAGAACAGAGGGACCTAGGAAGGGAAAGGACCTAAGCCCACTCGGTGATCTCCTGTGCCCTCAGGGTCATAACTGAGCACTTTCATTACAAGCTGCTCCATATTGTTATTTAATCAGTTCCAAGTAAGCTGCTTGAGGGCAGGGAAAATGCCCGGAACGTGGGGATTAGGTTTTCTCAGAAGCCCCCAGCACAGGGCTAGGCACCTGGAAGGCTGTCCTAGGGCAAGACTGGTACCTTGGCTGCGGCTTCCATCTGGGAAGGTCACTTTCTTGCTTTCATTTCTGGCAGCAAATAAAGCAGCACAGGAGCCCAAGGGACTGCACCCAGATGTAAGTTTTCATGAGAATGGAAGGTGGGTCGTGTGTGTGTGTGTGTGTGTGTGTGTGCATACATGTGCACAGGAACGGTGGTTTGGGCAAAAGTCCACAGGGATTGATAAAGGGTCTTAGGACTGATGGATATCCAGACTCCTGGCCTTGCCACCTGTGACCCAGGATGACAGGTGGCCTTTGCTGGGTCCTCTCATCACTGTGTTTTCTGGAGGTTGGCAGCCATCAGATCAGGAGCCCCAGCTTGGGGCAAAGGTGGGCAGTGTCTTGGGCATACACAGCCTCGCTTTGTTCCTGGCCCCTGTCACTGCTCCTCCTAGTATCATCTAATCTTCTCTCTTCCCCTCTCCATTCTGCTCTTTGAAGGAAGCACCCAGGAGAGGCTCTTGGGTGTGACCCTGTCTGAGCATCTCCATGCAGGGCTTCTGCTTTGGGACCTGGCATCTAACGGGGAGTGTCTGAGACACTGCCTCACTCTATGAGAATCCCTTGGGGGGTGGGAACATCCTAGGCAAAGGCGCTAGTTCCTGGTCCCTGGAAGTCACAGTGCCTGAGCTGGTGGAAAGGACTTCCTGACATCTTTGGTGAGATTGATTCCCAGGATGCTGGAGAAATTTGTCTTGGCCTGGAAAAGATGCAGTTTTTCTTCCTTCTCTGTATTCAAACTTCAAAGTTTGTCTTTGCTAAAGCCATTTAAAGAGATTTGCAGGTTGGCGAGGTGTAAGGGCACCTGGAGAGGGTTCACGGGTGGAAAGGTCCTCTGGGAGGCCTCTGATTGGTGGCCCCTGGTAGGCATACGTCTGAGCCAGTGCTTTTCTGGACTCCACATTCCCCTTCTCCGGGGCCTCAGGCATCAGGGTTGTGACAATACCTGCACCAGCTTCTCAGTGGGTGGATGTTGGTCAGGGTCACTGGGTGAGAGGAATTGGTTGATGACATCCACCCTCCCACTCAATTTCCTGACAGCCTAGGAGATGTGCTCTTTGTATCCTCTAATGTCACTTGTACATTCTACACAGCTCTCCCTGTCCTAAAACTGGGAGGTGATAGAGTGCATAAGGATTACTTTACTTCCTATGCCCCCAAGAGAAATCTAGGACTGTGGGGGGCGTGGCTCACACAGTTGAGTCACCTGCAGTGGGTTGCTGTGGCCAGCTCCACAGCTCCTCCTGCTTCCTGGCCCTGGTGGCTGGAGGACTGAGGCCAAGCAGGTTGGGTTAGTCTTTAGGAGGTTCGGGAAATGGGTCCTGTCCAGTGTCTGAGGAGAGCTGTTCAGAGAGGCTGGTGGAGGGGGTGTGGCTGAGGCAGTCTTTGCCCCAGCACCCAGATGGCAGGGCAGACCAACCAATTAGCCACCAATGAAGATAGACCGGCAGGGTGGCATTCCAGGGCCCTCTTGCTCAGATCAGCCTCAATTATAGGGTACAATTACCTGCTGAGGTGTTGTGGGGTATTTGCCTGCACATGCCACACAAAGTTTCGGGGGTGCTTCTTGGTCTTTGGGACTTACTTTTGGGAGAGGACCATATCTGAGGTCAATGTCTCCTTTAGGGCCCCTCATTCCAGTTCACTCCCAAAGAACACCACTTTTTGACCCCAGTCTCCTTGGCTCATGGGTGGGGGTCAAGGTCCCGATAGCCCCACAAACGCATGAAGGTTCAGTTTTACCCAGGAGTTCACCCTGGCTGTAGTGTGAAGAACGCCAAAGCCTTACCTCGAGATTTGCTTTCACTGGGAAGAAGAGAGATGACCTCGTTCCTTTCTTGAAGATAGACTAACAACTGGTAGCGATGGAAGCCACTATTTGCTGGTGGGGAGGGAGGCTTGTAGGCTGCAGGTGGAGAAAGGGAGAGACAAGTGAACTCACATCTCTGCTGCCCAGGGCAGAGCTCCTGCTTCCAGAGGCTGCTGGCTACTCGAGAAAACAAGCCCCTGTGTCTTTCCATGGCCCTGCTGACCTTCCTGGGGCCCCAGATGAAGGTTTACCTGCTGCATGCCATTATGTTTGGAAGGACCTCCCCTTTGGTATTTTCACTTCAGATGTCCATTTTGGGGTCTGGGGTGGTGGAGGAAAGAAGGTGGTCCCGGAGGAAATGCTCCAGGTTGGAATGAAGGTCTGGGGTGCTGCTGTGGCTTCCAGGGCTCACCGGGTCACTGGGTGCTGGTGTTGTCCTGTTTTTGCTCTAGTCTATTCGGATGGATTTCCTGCCTCAAGAGAAACCCATCTTCCCCCGTGAGTGTGTTTGGCAGTGAATTTTTATTTATTTTTTTCAGCATTTCCTTATGAACTCAATCCCCAAAGAAGCCAGTTTCTTGGCTGGGTCTGGAGGATCTGGAAGTGGTTACGGGGGTGGGTGGGACTGGGTTCAAAGGTTTGATCATAGGCGCTGGGGGCACTGGGGAGAAGGTTCGTCTCCCTCCTCTTCACTCTCCCTCTGGGAGACTGGCCTTTTTGGGTGTGGGGGGAAAGTGGGGTGGAGATGTCTCTTATCCTTCCCTTGAGTCTATGCAGGGACCTGGTTTTTGCTGGCCTGGACTGAAACTTCTAAACTGGGCCTCCTTCCAAGAATGCTGTGCCCCCTCCCACTCCCCTCCCCTCTCTCCACCTCCCTCTCCAAGGAGGAGAGTCAGGCGGGAGCCAAGAATCTTCCTGGGGTGGGTGGGGAAGGAGTGTTTGCAGTGAGGATGCTGGTGGGAGGGAGTGGTGGTACTTACGGCCATCCCCCAACTTTCCTCTCCTGACCATTAAACAAAAGAGTGACTGGCTGCTTGGCGCTGTTGGAAGTATTTCTCATTGTGTACTTCCGGCCACTGGGGCCTTCAGTGTGCCAACAGCCAGGGGAATTCCTGACTGTTCATCTTTCCCATCGCAAATCAGATGTGTGTCTGTGTGTGTGTGCGCACACACACATACACACACACACACACACTCAGAGAGAACACAGCAGGGTGTGCCAGGAGCTCTGTGAGTTTGTGTCGTTTAGGGTCTGTAGTGGGGCAGGTGTGAGATGGGAACAGCCCGTGTGCCAGAGCTCTGAGGCTGTGGCAGAGGGTGTGTGTGAATTTGGGTAAATCAGCCTTTCTTCACAATCACCGCCAGTGCTGGGAAAGATTTCTGAGCATGGGGTGCTGAGTATCTCTTTGTGTGAATGAGTTTGGAGGGCAGGTGGGATGTGACAACTTCTGGCCAGGCTGGTGGACATGGGGGTACATGCTATGTACCCTTGAGATGGGCGTATTCCATGCTGCCAAAGCCAGATGACCAGGATTCTGTGTGGACAAGTCTGAAGTTGGAAGCCACTGGTGCTATGTCTTTAGGGTAGATGGAGACGACCCCTCTCACTAGGGCTTTCCTAAAGAATCCTCCACTCAGAACCTCCAGAAGTACAAACTGGGGTGGGGGACACAAATGCTGGGGTGCATAACCTTCACTTATGGCATCTGCATCCTCCCCGACCTCTGCAGGTGGGTATGATCTCCATTTTCTGGAAGAGGAACTGGAGGCTGAGAGGTCAAGCCAGGCCACCAGGAGCTGGGATTTGAATCTAGACCTATGTGGGGCCTAACTAAGCCCATGCTGCTTCACAGACCAGGAAGACTTTGTCCTCGGCCAGCTCACCACCTGAGTATCCCCTGTAAATGGAGTCCAGGGCACACCTTGGGAGTGGAGACCCGAGGAAGGGGCCTGGGGGGCTGGGAGAAAGGGAGGGCAGGTCCTACTCCTATTTTATTCTCTTTAAAACAGCAAACTTGTAAGGCACTTGTGCAGATGACATCAGGGTGTACAGGGACCTTTGGGGTTGGTGTTTGCACTTTGCAAAGCAGCACCAGGAAGCTGTGTTACTATGACTCTTATGACTGTCATCGAGACCCTGGCTGGGGGAGGGAGCACTGATGGTCTTACTCACGTGTTAGCACCTGGCCCTGAATATTCCCTTTCTTTATGTCATTGCCCTGAAACGAGAGACAAACAGAGCCATGGTTACTTCTGGGGCAGCGTAGGCCAGCGCCACGTGAGAAGACCCAAGATATTAAGATAGGTGGAAAGCAAATGCTACCATGCTTTAGTCCCCAGGGTCTTCGAAGCAAGATGGAAGAGGAGGCGCAGGATGGGCTATGGGGCTTTAGAAGGAGTCCCCAAGGGGCCTGGGAAGAGAAGACACAAGGTGTCTGAGGGTGGTCTGGAGGTGAAGGACAGACAGCTCTGGGAAATCCTGATAGGACCCCCCCAAAGGACTGCCTCATGGTCCCTGTACCCTGAGATTGGGCCCAGCAATTGATTGTCAACCTGTAGATCTGGGCGCCTAATTGTTCTCAGGGACTTGCTAACCGGCCCGTCCCCTCAGGAGGGAGAATTTGGCTGACTTTGGAGACTTTCGGCACGTTAGGCCGACGGCATCGTAAGCAACCAGAGGGAGGGGCTGGACGGCCTTGCTCGAGGAAGCTCATTCAGCCACAAGCTCTGGGCAGTTTTTTTGGCCTCAGTTTCCCTCCTTCTCCTCCCCCTTCCCTCCACTCCAGTGTCTGTGGGATAATGAGGTGCTCCTGGGGGCGGGCGCTAATTACTGTTTGTGCAGGACTGGGAGATGCTCAGATGAAAGGGACTGGAGCCGGGCCCCTGGGTCTGTGCCACGGTTCAGGACCCCGGGCCATGCCAGGGAGCCCTGCGGCCCCTAGGTGTGGAGTTTTATAGCCTTAATGATGGTGATTAGCATGGTGCTTAATTGATTCTGCCAACACCTAACTGTGCCCTGGCCCCCTTTCCACCCAGCCCTTCCTGGGATGGCTCTTGCCCCTTGCCTCCAGCAGATGCTCATGGGAGTGTGGGAGAATAGGGGAGGGCTGGGAGGCCCCACCTGGGTAGTGGGAGAGAGTTGTTGGTGGGGGTGAGATCCCACCCTGGGTGCCCAGTGGCCCCTTCCAGAACCTACCTGACCTCCCTTGAGGCCGTAGCTCATTCATTACTGTCTTCACCTTTGGAGTTTCCTTGCCAGTATCCCTCTCCCAGTTTGGGTCTAAGTCACTTTTGGTAGGAAGACGGAGCAGGACACCCGCCCCCTGCACCCAAGAGCCCACCACACTTGGTTTTCTGCCCCCTGTGCAGGTGAGTCTCTTCTTTCCACCCTTCTGGCCTCCCCAGAGGGATAGTGAGCACCCAGGCAGTCTTCACCTTCAGCCCCACACATCAGTGGCATGCCCCAGCCCTACTTGGCTGGCACTTCCTCTGCAGTCTCTTGATTCCCCCAATTTGGGCTCTGAAATTGCCCGGGCCCAGATATGGCCAGGGACGGAGAGTAAGGGGTGGAAGCACTCTGAGAGGAGGTCAGGACCCAATAGGGGCCTAGCAGCCACTCTTCCCACCCTAGCAACATCGAGAGAACCAGAGCAGGGGCTGGGGGTGGGGTGGGTGGTGTTGGCCCAGGGAAGCCAGCCCAGCCCACGGCTCTGTTCTGCAGCCTCCTCCTCAGACCCTCCCAGTCATCCTGGGCCAGGCCAGCGGTTTGTTTAAACCAAACAATGGCAACCCAGGCTGCCTGTTTCTCTTCAATTCCCCACAGGCTTGGGTCCCACCCAGAGTGATAAACAGGCCTCTCTCCTCCGGAGGGAGGTGGTGAGGGAGGGAGCTGGGGCCTGTAGGTCAGTGAGCCTTGACCCCAGGGCTGGGCCAGTGTGGAAAGTCTGATTTGCAGCCTTGCTCAGGGCGGGAGGCATCCCCCCACCCTTTCACCCTGGGAGTGTCCTCTCATATACTGGGGCCAGCTTGGCAAAGACTGTATATAAACTCTGGGGTGGGGTCACTGAGGCGAGCCACTGGCCCTTCCTGCCTGCCTTCCCTTCCTAGCTGCCCCACTGGCCCTGTTCTGTGCTGGGGCACAGAGGGTATTTATGCTCTTCCGGGTCTCAAGCTCATCTTATGGACAGACACTGGCTCTTGCTGGCAGAAAGAGCAGGCATGGACCCTGTGGCAGAGAGTTCCACACAGTGGGTGGATAGAGCGACTGTGATCTTCTTGGGTAAATTGATTGGCCAAGCTCCCTTCACTGGTCAGTCCTGAGGGGCTGAAAATTCGGCCATAGAACCAAAACCTGGCAGGGGCCTTAGGAAACGGTATTCTGAAAGGTGAGAAAGTTGGGGTACAGAGAAGTCAAAATAATTGTCCTGAGCCATTTGAGTAGTGAATAGAAAACCTCAGAATGTTCAGGGAGGAAGGGGCCACAGACTCTGAGGCCAGCTGTCTCCAGGGCCTGGGCCTTTTGGTCCACAGTGCTGTCCTGTGTTTAATCCATGAAGTCATGACAAGCCCACCACTGTTCCGGGAGACATGGTTTTTGGAAGACCCTTATTGGTGGTGCAAGAAGTGGACGTAGCTCAATGTAGAATGTGAGCTCAGCAGGCATGAGGTCCTGGGTCCAATCCCCAGCACCAAAAACATAAAAAATAACAGAAAATAAAACTCTTACAAAAACATCCAGACATAGTCTGGGTGGCTGGGGCTGAATGGAAATGCCCACTCCCCCATCCTATATCAGCTCTCCTTAAATTCCTTAGAAAATCATGTCTAGCCTTTGATCACCTTAGAAAGCTGGAACTCTCCAGGGATGGGTGAGATTCAGTTGCAGGAGGTGAGCAGGGAAGTCATAGTTGGCAGCACTGCTCAGGAGCAGAGGCAGGGAATGCCCTGCAGGGGATGGGGTGGGAGCCAGGGTTGGAGGAGCGCAGACACCACAGAGATGGGCTTTGGAAGGATAATCCTCAGGAGGCTAGAGATTGCTGAGAGCCCCCTACACTTTGGGCCTCCTCCCCTCTACCTGCTACCTCCACCTGCCCCCTGCCTGGTCTCCAGGTGTGCTTGCTTCTCTTTAAGAAGGGCCAACCACCAAACCTCCTTTCCCTTACTGTAGCTAAAGACAGGTTGACATTTTCAAAAGGAACTTGTCTAAATGCTCAGGTTAAAAAAAGGAAATAATTATGGAAATTACAAACAGCGCAGACACAGTTGGGTTTCTGATCCTTAAGAATACCGAAAAGTCAAGGATGGGTTTTTCAGAACAGCAGGACAGGGGCACCTGAGGTGTTTGGGAGGTGTACTGGGAGGACATTCAGGGATAGGATGGCTTCAGGGAGGCAAATCTTCCTTTGTAGCATCTTCTGGGGTTGGGGAGTCTGACCCATGATCCTCTTAGCAAGGACATGGAGGAGGAGGGGTAAATTGCTCCTTATAGGCCCAGGATATAAGAAGAGCAGTTGCTTCTTTTTCTTAAAAGTTGGTCCCAGTGTGTGTGTGTGTGTGTGTGTGTGCGTGCGTGTGTGTATGTGCGTGTGCGCATGTGCATATGTATGTGAATGTGCACATGTACAAATGTGTTTAGGATTCTGGGTACATGCGTGACTCCCTGGCATAGGAATAGGCACAATTTATTCTTACCTCAGGGGAGGAGCTGGGCCCTCTGGACACTTGGGGGGAGTTTCTGCATTTATAGAACCTGCGACTTCCTGGGAGTGGGACCTAGGGCCTCAAGCTGCTAAGGACACAGTCTACATTAAACATCCGTTCCTTGCACCATCAATCTCTCTGAGCTTTAATAAGGGTCTTCCAACAACGATGTCTCCCAGAGGAGTGGTGGGCTTGTCATGACTTGGTGAACTAAACACAGGACAGCACTGTGACCAAAAGGCCCAGGCCCTGGAGCCAGCTCTCTCCCACTTAAGCCCCCACTGTCTCTGTCCAGCTAGTTTGGAACTGGCATGTGAGATGCTTAGGAAAAGTTGGGGCTCCATTGAGGTCACAGCAACCCCATACCAGGATAGGGGTGACACAAGACTGTCTTACTTGTTCTGACTGGTTTGTCTCAGGTCAAATCAAGAGCACAACACCGGAAGCCAGGGGTCTGTTTGTACCCACTATTAGTTTATATCCCTAGCAGGTATTCTCCAGGGCGCTGTCTCCCACCGATTGACCTCACAACACCTCATGTGTAGGAAGGGTAGAGTTTTATCCCTATCAGACCAGAATGAAAGCAGAGGGGCTTCAGCTTCTCCAGGGAAAGGATGCATTCTGCCATTTTTCTAGTCCAGAGACCCTCCTCTTCCGCCCTGGTTAGCCTTGCAGGCAAAGGCTATGTGGCTGGACTTGGCTAGTGAGCTCTGGTGGGTGGGGAAGGGGCCTAGCAGTTGCTGGTCCCAGCAGGGATGCTGGCTGTCCTCATTCCCTTTCAATTACCTCCAGGCAACTGCCCGCCCACCTGGGCTTTGAGAAGGCCTCAGGTCCTCACACCCGCTGACCCCCTCGCAGAAGGTCAGCGGCACATTTCTTGGAGCACGGGAGAGATGATTTAATCTCTTCACCCACCTCTTCCCATTTGGACAGGAGTATTCAATCACTCTGCCTGGCTGTGAACCCCGGCCAGAGAGGGAAGTTTCACTTTTTTTGATCTCTGAGAAGGTGGGGGGAGGCATCTGAAGAGTCCTGAACTTGAAAGGTAAGGCTTGGGAGTTGAGGGAGAGTCCTGGGAGAAATGAGCCACAGAGCCCTTGGGCGGAAAATAGAGAGGAGGGGGAGAGAAAAGGGAAAACAGAAACAGAGTTCCAGACTCCCTGACACTGGCACTGAGTGAGAAAGCTCCTTGCTGTTCTGCACAGCTGCCTGCAAGCTGCCAAGTGGCGAAGGATCCAGGGAAAGGCACGGCACTGGGAAGTGCTATCCAGCTCTCTGTGTATTCTGCAGTTAACAAAGGGTAAGTGAGTGGAAGGCACTGACAGCTCCCAGGCTCTGGATCCCCAGGGGCCATGGCTGCCAGGCCACCGAACAAATGCTGGCTTGGAGCAGACTCAGTCTGGGAGATCGTGTCTACTCTAAGGGAAAGGCTTCCAGTCAATCAACCCCATGGCCTGCTCTTTTGCCCTGGGATGGAGAAAGGAGGGACCACCACTGAGGTGGGTGCAATGAAGCCCAT